TCTTGTTCCTTACTTGTAGGCTTTTCATAACTAATTTTAAGAAAGTATATTGCAAATTTTCCTTTTCCTATTATATTTTAAGTTGACCAAAGAATTGAGTTTTTGCTTTTATTTTAAAAAAAAGCTTTATTAAAGTATAATTGGCATATGATGAACTGCATATATTTAAAGAGTACATTTTAATGAATTTTGACATATGTATACACATGAAACCATGATCCCAATCAAGATAGTGAACTTATCTATCAGCCCTAAAATTTCATTGTCCCTTTTTTTTTTTTCGCGGTACATGGGCCTCTCACTGTTGCGGCCTCTCTCGTTGTGGCTCCGGACGTGCAGGCTCAGCAGCCATGGCTTATGGGCCCAGCCGCTCCGCGGCATGTGGTATCTTCCCGGACCAGGGCACAAACCCGTGTCCCCTGCATTGGCAGGCGGACTCTCAACCACTGCGCCATTGTCCCCTTCTGTAATTCTTTTCTCCTGCCCCCTCTGTCCCCAATCCCCACAGGACAACTGATCTGCATTTTGTCACTATAGATTAACTCGCTTTTTCTAAAGTTTTGTATAAATATAGTTCAGTATGTACTTTACTTTGATTGACTCCTTTCATTCAGCCTAATTATTCTGAGATTTATCCATTTTATGTGTGTGGTGGACAGACCCCTCCCATGAGCCCCACATCCAGGTGTTTGGGCTTTTGTCTATGTCCTCCCCTTGAGTGTGAGTTGGACCTGGGACTTACTTTAACTAATAGAATATGGCAAAGATGATTGGATCATTCCTGTGATTATACTGAGCTATATAAGACTCATTCTTGCTAGCTGATTCACTCTAGAGAGTATCCTTGCTGGCTTCATGATGTAAATGGTCAAGGAGGGAAAGCCTACTTGGCAAGGAGCTTCAGGCACCTCTCGGAAGTGCAGGTAGCCCCTGAGAACCGAAAGATACTTCCAGCTAACAACCGGCAAGAAGCCTGTGCCCTCAGTCCTAAAGCTGCAAGGAAATAAATTCTGCCAACAACCTGAGGGGGCTTGGAAGCAGATTCTTCCCTAGCCAATTGAAGGGCAGCAGAATACGCCACCCCAAAATATGCCTCTTTGGCATAAGGATTATTTTGAGCTGATTATTTTTGAGAAGAAAACAAACACAGGAGATGCACTAAAAAACAGTAGACTTTACCCTTTTAAAAGGGAACTTTACATTTATAAGGGAAGTCTCCACTTGTAAGGGTGAATCCCTACCAGGAAGAGAAACTCTTATCAATGGAGAAAGTACCCGACTTAAATGTGCATAAGGACATTACCCTCGCGCACTGTGTTTTTCCTGGTAACCTCCTGTAACTGACGTCCCCAGCCACCACCATCTTTTTTTTGTCTTTAGCTGAAGATGGCACTTAATGTAGTGGCTCGGGGCATTTCAGGGAGTTGTACTCAGTTTTCCTGGATATCTCCCATGTATATATAAGGTAAACATGTTGTAGGGGAGCCAAATTTGCCAGCCCAAGTGCATCCCTTTGGCATGAGGATTCATTTAGGCTGATTATTTTTAAGACACAAGACTCCGGGAGTTTTCCTTGTTGCCTCTTCCTTAACTGCCTAAAAGAATTTAGATAAAAGGCCTGTTCCAGACTAGAGCTATCACCAGAGATATCTACAAAAAAATCTGGGCTAGTTGTGGCAGTGGGAAACTTGGCAGGGCATAGAGATCAGAGCTCACTCTATTTCCCATTGTCTCTGCCTGGCCTAGCGAACATTTGTTTACCAAGCATATGTTTTCCCACCTCCATGTTAACTGCCTCCCTCCCTGCTGAAGTACCAAACCACTACCCCAACATCCTCTTTTGTCTTTAGCTGAGAATGGTATTTAAGATGAGGATTTTGACCATTTTGTCAAGTTACTCAGTTTTCCTGGGTCTCTCCCACATATACGTGTTATTAAAGTTTGGTTTGATCTTCTCTTGTTAAGCTGTCTCAAGTCCATTTAATCCTTAGACCAGCCAGAATGTTACTGGCTGGAGCCGGAACAGAACTCATATTTGGCTGCTCATCACTCAAAAGTCAATGTTCAAGACACAGGCATTGGTGGAAAAAGAAAGATGCTTTATTTAGGAAGCCGGCAACCTGGGGAGATGGCAGACTTGCCTCGCAAAAAACCATCTCCAAGTCGCCAGTTAGAGGAAAAGCGTTCTATGGGGAAAAACTGGAAAGTTTCAGGGGTGGACTTCCTTTCCGATTTAGATGACTCTTTCTCTTTCCCATTCTCTCTCTCTTCTCCTCCCTTTCCCTCCCTCTCTCTCTCTCTCTCTGTCTCTCTCCCCTAAACAAAACAAATGAGACAATCCAGGGCAACAGTTTTGTGGAAAGAAATGAGTATCAGGCAGTACTAGACAATGCAAAAACAAAATCCTGTACAGATTCGAAGCCAACACCTTTTGCTTACCAGTAGAATGCAGAAAAAACAATCCCTATATTGTATTAAAATTAATTTATTTGATATGCATCATATGGACAACTTTTAAGAGCGTGCCAGTAGAATTTTAGAATTTGTCATTAAGTCACATATTGTTTGGAGCAGGAAACATATCAAGACAAAGCTCCTTGGTACAAAACACTGTCAAGACCTGAACACAGGAAGCTGTCAATTGTGGAAAAGGAAAGATACAAATTGTCTGTTTTTCATTTCCTATCTTGACATCTATAAAAAGTTGTTCTAAAACAACAACAAAAACAACAACAACAAAAACAAAACACAGATCTTTCCACTCTCCAGGACAAATCAACAAATACTGAAGTTTACAAGCTAGGTGTTGAAAATGTGCTAGGTTACAGTGTGATAGTTACTGCTCTTGGGGAGATGGAGATGTTCAGAAAAGAAGCCACACGCACCCCCTAAAAAATATATGGTGGGAAAGTAAAAACACAAAACAAGTATAAATAAAAAAGCTGTGGGAGTTTAGAGAAAAACAATATATCAGATCAAAGGAATCAAGAATGGGCATTAAAGAATAAAACTGAGGCAAGAAAAGAGTGTAGAGGCCGCAGGCATGGAAATGGGAACTTCTCTCTGAGGAAGGAACTTGTTTAATTGGGTATAAAACATTCATTCCGGATAGAAATGAATTTTTAGTGAGCTCGAAAATTGTACATAATGTTGAGTAATGGTTTGAAATTCAGATTAAGGGGATGGAAGATCTTTTGAAGAACTTTGAGCAGAGGAGTTACATTTCAAACTGAGTTTTGAAGTACACTTCTTTAGCTGTGTCAGAAAGATGACAAGATGATGTGACTAGAGGTGAAGAAACCAGAAGCTATTCAAACACGGAAGGGCCCCAGATGCTGGGCCATGTTCCTTCCATCAGCCTCTGAAGTAAGAGGTGGCCTATATGTGACACAGCATTTCCTCTACAGTACTATGTACCACGAATGGCTGAAGGAATGAGTGAAAAGAAAAAGAATGTGCAGGAATAATCTACGAGATCTGGCAAGCCCTCGGAGGTGGGGATATCTCTTTAACTGGTGAAGGAATCCTCAAACCTGTAAATACGTGTTAAGAGAACTTGCAAGGACACATGGAGAAGGAACACGGAGAGGACATGAGCTGAGATGGAAGAAAGAACACACATTTTAGAGTCAAAAAAATTTGCTTTCCAGTACTAGCTTTGCCACTTACCAGCCATGTGACTTGAATTAATTTTCCCCTGAGCCTCAGCTTCACGTCTAAAAAGGGGGTAATGATATATGTTCATGAATAAATTAAATTAGATTAAATAAAACAATGTGAGTAATTCGATTTTTATCTTTCTGTGGTACACAGCACTGAATAGATAGTGGCGATTATTGCTATGAGGTCCTTTTGATGGTATTTTGAAGAGGATCTCAGGCCACGTGGTTCCAAGTGCAGATTTAAAGGCGTTTAGGCTGGAGGCAAGTTTGGCAGTAATTCGTCCCTTCATTGGTTGGACTAGATAGAATACTCCATCTACTATGGCCAGAGAGGAGACGATGGGCAGTGAAACAGTGATTGAAATTTCGGAAGGCAAGGGAGTTTGAGAAAATCGGAGCAGGTGAAGAAAAAAGACTAGCCAAATGCGAACACAACTGTCTCCACTCAGAAGTCCACAGGGTCCTACCGCTGGATGAGCAGCGAATGGCATCGACAGCACCGCCCTCTAGTGCTCGGTCCCTCTAACTGCAGGGGTGAAATGGGAGCCTTGGCCCATGTGGAGAAGTCCTTAGACACCAGTGTTTCTCTACTGGGAGAAATGTTAATTCAGAAAACAGTACTTTGAGGAGAGGGAGATTTGTCATTTCCTGTTAACCGCTACCCCTGAAACCAACCAGGCTGCATGTCTTTCCTGACAGAATGACGCTAAGTTTGAAATTCAGAGAGGGCAGACTATCTTGATGTGATACAATGTGTCACTTGCCTTATTTGGCATATAAAAATAAAATAAAATAATGTATGTACCAATAATCATTAATGAAAAAAATTTATGAAGAAGCAGCAATCCGAGTTTTAACAAAAGCAAAGGTTTTTGCAGGGGAGAGAAAACTGGGAGTCACCAGAAGGAGCCCTCAGAGAATGGCAGGAAGTGAAGACAATTTGTCTTTGATCTGCTGAATCCCAAGGAAGGATTTCTTTTTTTTTCAGCAGGTGAAACAATTTTATTTCACAGTTGTCTTTAAAACCACAAAGACAATATGTTCTTCATATAAAAACGTTAGTTCAGATAACTATACTTTCTAGAAAATGATTATAGAGACGCTCTTAAAGAAAATGCACCCCAGGGCTTTCCTGTTGGCGCAGTGTTTGAGAGTCCGCCTGCTGAGGCAGGGGACACGGGTTCGTGCCCCGGTCCGGGAATATACCACATGCCGCGGAGCGGCTAGGCTCGTGAGCCATGGCCGCTGAGCCTGCGCGTCCGGAGCCTGTGCTCCGCAACGGGAGAGGCCACGACAGTGAGAGGCCTGCGTACAGAAAAAAAAAAAAAAAAAATGCACCCCATTATATGGTTTTGGTGAAGTTGCTTGGAAAAAACTCACATCTGGACTGATTCCTAAAACATACCATTCCACCATTCTGCATCTTTTGGTTCAAAGTATATGTTATTGTCATCAATACATGTTCCTGCATTCTTACATGTATGATAATACATATATATACTGGTTTTTCTTTCCTTTCTTTACACTCAAACACGGAAGGGCCCCAGTAAAGAAAATTCTTTGAGGGTCTCCCATAACAGCAGTGGAGCCAAGGAATATTACTTTATCCAGATATACTTTGTGCCAGGCACCGTTCTAGAAGCTTGGGGATACAGTAGTGATCAAAGTAGACTGAAGCAGAAAAATACTTCTCTCAAGGAACTTACATTCTGGTGAAGAGGGCAGTATGGTGAAGATTATAAGCAAAAGAATAAGTAGAGTATATAGCATGCCAGATCTTGATACGTATTATGAAGAAAAATATAGTAATACGGATAGGAAATTTGCATGGGGCAGCTTAATTATTAAAGATGACAAAGAAGGCCTCACTGACAAGATGAATACTTGCATCAGGACCTCAACTTCCCTTATTACAAAGCATGGAAGTCCTATCTCAGGAAGGGAACAGGAATTCAGCCACCCCAGAGCTTTCTGGACCAGGTTCATCGAAGAGTCCCAGGCTTCCTCTCAAATAAGCATCAGGCTTATTTTCAGGGAAGATGCAGCCAGTGTAGGAAAAGGTTTGGTCTCAGGTTACCCTCCTAGGGTCACTGGCTCAGGTGCACCTGCTGAGAAGTTTCAGCCACTCTACTTACTAATAGGAAAGAGCTCCAAGCTAGATAATGAGAAAAGCAAGGGGCAGAACCGTGAGAGGAATATAGCCATTGGCCATTTATGTTAATGGGGACAGAATAGAATCCACGCTTACATATTTGTGTTTGTATAAAGAAATTCCAGATGCGTACACAGGAAACTAATAAACGTGGTTCTTTGTTATTGATGGGGGAACTGGGCAGATGAGGACTGTGTTTGAAATAGGATTGTTTATTGTATTATTTATATATGCAATTATTAAACCCAAGCAATGGACTGCCTAGTAGAAACCACAAAACAATATTAGCTACATTTTCTTAAAGGGCCACAAGATGGCAATAGCGTTTCTTGTTTGTCGAGCCTGGGAGATGGGAGGAGGGGACCGCTGCTGCTATGAGCTCCTCCCTTGTGCAAATGGCCTTCTTGTTCCCTTAGTTCAGTTGCCAGAATTTCTCTTTGCCAGCACTTGATTCCTCTCATTGTCACCCCTTGTTGACTGAAAGAGAATTATCTTCGTTAATTGGGCCAGCTTTTTTGAAATCTTTTTTTTTTGAGGGGGGGGTAAGGGGGAGGGAAGCGGGGAAAGGATTATGGACGTCTTGAAGTATACCCCAAAGTACACGAAAACATACCTCCAGGTGTCCATCAGACATGCTTCAACAATTACCAACATCTGCTTTGTTTCATTATCCAGGTGTACATTGTGGGAGAGGGTAGCAGTGTAAAGAAATCATAAACATATTTTTTTCAATCATGAATATTTTCACAAACATCCTAACGGATACAGAGTTAAATAAAATACAAGATTTTCTCACCTAAGAAAAATTTTAAATGATTTTTAACATCATCTAATATCTAGTACTAAAAAAAAAAAATCCTCAATGGCCTCAAATATTTTTTTACAATGATTTTGTCTGAATGGTATTCCATTAGATCTACAAATGGTATTTGGTTACTGTGTCTTTTAAATCTATTTTAATTCATGACATTTAACCAAATCTGAGTTTGCTCTTGGGAAAAGGAGTTGAGAAACTATAATCTGGGTGATGGGAATGCTCATTGTCCATGGGTGGTCATTGTTTGCAGAACTTTTCTCTGAAAAGTGATGGGGGAAATAAGGGTTTTCTTAAAAGGAAAAAAAAAAAAAAGATCATACTGATATTTTCCATTCAAATTTAAGTCAAAAGCGTTTTTTACTTAACATTTTTAAATAGATTTTTATTGGAGTATAATTGCTTCACAATACTGTGTTAGTTACTGTTGTACAACAAAGTGAATCAGCCATATGCATACACATATCCCCATATCCCCTCCCTCTTGAGCCTCCCACCCACCCTCCCTATCTCACCCCTCTAGGTCATCGCAAAGCACCGAGCTGATCTCCCTGTGCTATGCTGCCGCTTTCCACTAGCTCACTATTTTACATATTTTAATGTATATATGTCAATGCTACTCTCACTTCGCCCCAACTTCCCCCTCCCCACTGTGTCCTCAAGTCCATTCTCTATGTCTACGTTTTTATTCCTGCCCTGCCACTAGGTTCATCAGTACCATTTTTTTTTTAACTTAACATCTTTAAGGTTATAATTGAAATTCTTTTATTCTGAAAATCTTAGTTTCTTATATGATAAAAAAAATGACTTGTTTTCTCTATAGACAAAATAAGAAAAGACATCTTAACACTTTAATTATTCTGAATTAGAAAGTAGAATGAAGAGAAGAAAGGTTTGAACCTACTAAAATCTGACCTTGAGTGAGGTCAAGGTCAGATTTTAGTAGAAATAGACTTTTCAACTCTTTTCAACTTTTCAACTCTTTCCTCATTTAAAATTGATATTCACTAATATTCTGTCCTTCCCAAATTAAGAAAGAACATAGAAGTCTTGATGCTGCAAAATAATTTAAAAAGAAAATGCCTCCTCTAATGAAGTGTAACATAACACTCTTATCTTCATGGTTAGAACTTTTGTTTCTTGTTTAAGAAATCCTTTGGTACTGTGAGATATTTTCTTAGCTTACCTTCTAAAAAGGCGTAATGGTTTTCCTTTTACATTTAAGGGTCTTTTTTCCTCTGTGGGTAACCAATTGTCCTGATAAATTTTTGAACAGCTTATCTTTTCCTCACTTACCTCACCATTTTCATTTCTAAAGATTCAACAAAAAGTTAGATACGATCTTTGCCTTTCTAGCTAATTCAGCTGGTAAATGTGTCCATTTCTGTGCAATACCACCCAGTATTATAGCTATATGACTCTTTTTTTATCACTAAATCATATTCCACCTCATCAGGAGTTTCTTAGATTTTTTTTTTTACCCTTTTGATCCTCAAATAAATGTTAGAATTAACTTCCAAATTCCAAAACTAGGATTTTGACTGAAATTACCTGATTTTGTCAGTCCTCCTTTGGATACTAAAACTTCTTAAAAAAAAAAGTAAAATAAACACAGCAGAGATGCAAGGATGGAAAGTGAAACTTTTTCAAGTTGGTAATTAAGTAAGTGTAATAGCAGTGGTACCACTCCATTTCTACCTCTTAGTTTTGTTTTGTTTTGTTTTAAAGAAGATGTTGGGGGTAGGAGTTAATTAATTAATTAATTAATTTTGCTGTATTGCGTCTTCATTTCTGTGCGAGGGCTTTCTCTAGTTGTGGCAAGCGGGGGCCACTCTTCATCGCGGTGTGCGGGCCTCTCACTATCACGGCCTTTTGTTGCGGAGCACAGGCTCCAGACACGCAGGCTCAGTAGTTGTGGCTCACGGGCCTAGTTGCTCCACGGCACGTGGGATCTTCCCAGACCAGGGCTCGAACCCATGTTCCCTGCATTGGCAGGCAGATCCTCGACCACTGTGCCACCAGGGAAGCCCTACCTCTTAGTTCTTTAACAAATGTGTTTTGACAAGGGGAGAAATTACACCAATTCTTTGTCACTATTCAGCACACATACAGTATCCAGTTGAACAGGACTCCAGTAAAACTGCTAGGTGCCACTTTGAGTCTCCCAATAATTGATAAGGCTGCTTCTTTATCAACGAAGGATGTGGTACACATTAAGACTGCAGTAAAATAGGAACATACATATCGATAATTACCTTAAATGTAACTGGATTAAATGCTCCAACCAAAAGACATAGATTGGCTGAATGGATACAAAAACAAGAGCTGTATATATGCTGTCTACAAGAGACCGACTTCAGACCTAGGGACACATATATATTGAAAATGAGGAGATGGAAAAAGATATTCCATGCAAATGGAAATCAAAAGAAAGCTGGAGTAGCAATTCTCATATCAGACAAAATAGACTTTAAAACAAAGACTATTACAAGAGACAAAGAAGGACACTACATAATAATCAATGGATCGATCCAAGAAGGAGATATAACAATTGTAAATATTTATGGACCCAACATAGGAGCACCTCAATACATAAGGCAAATACTAACAGCCATAAAATGGGAAATCGACAGTAACACAATCATAGTAGGGGACTTTAACACCCCACTTTCACCAATGGAAAGATCATCCAAAACGAAAATAAATAAGGAAACACAAGCTTTAAATGATACATTAAACAAGATGGACTTAATTGATATTTATAGGACATTCCATCCAAAAGCAACAGAATACACATTCTTCTCAAGTGCTTATGGAACATTCTCCAGGATAGACCATACCTTGGGTCACAAATCAAGCCTTGGTAAATTTAAGAAAATTGAAATCGTATCAAGTATCTTTTCTGACCACAACACTATGAGACTAGACATCAATTACAGGAAAAAATCTGTAAGAAATACAAATACATGGAGGCTAAACAACACACTACTTAATAACCAAGAGATCACTGAAGAAATCAAAGAGGAAATCAAAAAATACCTAGAAACAAATGACAATGAAAACACGACGACCCAAAGCCTATGGGATGCAGCAAAAGCATTTTGAAGAGGGAAGTTTATAGCAATACAATCCTACCTTAACAAGAAACACCTCAAATAAACAACCTAACCTTGCACCTAAATCAATTAGAGAAAGAAGAACAAAAAAACCCCAAAGTTAGCAGAAGGAAAGAAATCATAAAGATCAGATCAGAAATAAATGAAAAAGAAATGAAGGAAACGATAGCAAAGATCAATAAAACTAAAAGCTGGTTCTTTGAGAAGATAAACAAAATTGATAAACCATTAGCCAGAGTTATCAAGAAAAAAAGGGAAAAGACTCAAATCAATAGAATTAGAAATGAAAAAGGAGAAGTAACAACTGCCACGACAGAAATACAAAGGATCATGAGAGATTACTACAAGCAAATATATGCCAATAAAATGGACAATCTGGAAGAAATGGACCAATTTTTAGAAAAGCACAACATTCCGAGACTGAACCAGGAAGAAATAGAAAATATGAACAGACCAATCACAAGCACTGAAATTGAAACTGTGATTTAAAATCTTCCAACAAACAAAAGCCCCAGACCAGATGGCTTCACAGGCGAATTCTATCAAACATTTAGAGAACAGCTAACACCTATCCTTCTCAAACTCTTCCAAAATATAGCAGAGGGAGGAACACTCCCAAACTCATTCTATGAGGCCACCATCACTCTGATATCAAAACCAGACAAAGATGTCACAAAGAAAACTACAGGCCAATATCACTGATGAACATAGATGCAAAAATCCTCAACAAAATACTAGCAAACAGAACCCAACAGCACATTAAAAAGATCATACACTATGATCAAGTGGGGTTTATCCCAGGAATGCAAGGATACTTCAATATGCACAAATCAATCAATGTGATACACCATATTAACAAACTGAAGGAGAAAAACCATATGATCATCTCAGTAGATGCAGGGAAAGCTTTCGACAAAATTCAACACCCATTTATAATAAAAACCCTCCAGAAAGTAGGCACAGAGGGAAATTACCTCAACATAATAAAGGCCATATATGACAAACCCACAGCCAACATCGTCCTCAATGGTGAAAAACTGAAACCATTTCCACTAAGATCAGGAACAAGACAAGGTTGTCCACTATCACCACTCTTATTCAACATAGTTTTGGAAGTTTTAGCCACAGCAATGAGAGAAGAAAAAGAAATAAAAGGAATCCAAATTGGAAAAGAAGTAGAGCTGTCACTGTTTGCAGATGACATGATACTCTACATAGAGAATCCTAAAGATGCTACCAGAAAACTACTAGAGCTAATCAATGAACTTGGTAAAGTAGCAGGATACAAAATTAATGCACAGAAATCTCTTGCATTCCTATACACTAATGATGAAAAATCTGAAAGTGAAATTAAGAAAACATTCCCATTTACCATTGCAACAAAAAGAATAAAATATCTAGGAATAAACCTACCTAAGGAGACAAAAGACTTGTATGCAGAAAATTATAAGACACTGATGAAAGAAATTAAAGATGATACAAATAGATGGAGAGATATACCATGTTCTTGGATTGGAAGAATCAAGACAGTATGGTACTGGCACAGAAACAGAAATATAGATCAATGGAACAGGATAGAAAGCCCAGAGATAAGCCCACACACATATGGTCACCTTATCTGTGATAAAGGAGGCAAGAATATACAGTGGAGAAAAGACAGCCTCTTCAATAAGTGGTGCTGGGAAAACTGGACAGCTACATGTGATAGAATGAAATTAGAACACTCCCTAACACCATACACAAAAATAAACTCAAAATGGATTAAAGACCTAAATGTAAGGCCAGACACCATCAAACTCTTAGAGAAAAACATAGGCAGAACACTCTATGACATAAATCACAGCAAGATCCTTTTTGACGCACCTCCTAGAGAAATAGAAATAAAAATAAAAATAAACAAATGGGACCTAATGAAACTTAAAAGCTTTTGCACAGCAAAGGAAACCATAAACAAGACGAAAAGACAACCTTCAGAATGGGAGAAAATATTTGCAAATGAAGCAACTGACAAAGGATTAATCTCCAAAATTTACAAGCAGCTCATGCAGCTCAACATTAAAAAAACAAACAAAAAAACGCAACCCAATCCAAAAATGGGCAGAAGACCTAAATAGACATTTCTACAAAGAAGATATACAGATTGCCAACAGACACATGAAAGAATGCTCAACATCATTAATCATTAGAGATTTGCAAATCAAAAGTACAATGAGATACCATCTCATAACGGTCAGAATGGCCATCATCAAAAAATCTACAAACAATAAATGCTAGAGAGGGTGTGGAGAAAAGGGAACCCTCTTGCACTGTTGGTGAGAATGTAAATTGATACAGCCACTATGAAGAACAGTATGGACATTCCTTAAAAAACTAAAAATAGAACTACGATATGACCCAGCAATCCCACTACTGGGCATATACCCTGAGAAAACCATAATTCAAAAGAAGTCACGTACCAAAATGTTTATTACCGCTTTATTTACAATAGCCAGGACATGGAAGCAACAGAAGTGTCCATCAACAGATGAATGGATAAAGGTGATATGGAACACATATAAAATAGAATATTACTCAGCCATAAAAAAGAACTGAGTTATTTGTAGTGAGGTGGATGGACCTAGAGACTGCCATACAGAGTGAAGTAAGTCAGAAAGAGAAAAACAAATACCGTATGCTAACACATATATATGAAATCTAAAAAAAAAAAAAAAAAATGGTCATGAAGAACCTAGGGGCAAGATGGGAATAAAGATGCAGACCTACTAGAGAATGGACTTGAGGATACAGGGAGGGGGAAGTTGGGACAAAGTGAGAGTGGCATGGACATATATACACTATCAAACATAAAATAGATAGCTAGTGGGAAGCAGCCGCATAGCACAGGGATATCGGCTAGGTGCTTTGTGACCGCCTGGAGGGGTGGGATAGGGAGGGTGGGAGGGAGAGAGACGCAAGAGGGAAGAGATATGAGAACATGTGTATATGTATAACTGATTCACTTTGTTATAAAGCAGAAACTAACACACCATTGTAAAGCAATTATACTCCAATAAAGATGTTAAAAAAAAAAAGCCTGCAGTAAGTCTCATTGCCATTTGTACATTGCCTTACTTTTTCTCTATAATGTATTGAGATCAGTTAAAAAAATGCTGTGAGATGTGAGGTATAAAGTATTCATTAAGTCCACAGATAGTCTTGCTAGCAACAACATAAGAGAAAGTGAAGCACATCCAAATCTAGAATAAGTGTCTACCTCATTGAAGACAAATCCCTGCCTCATCCAGGACAAAATTTATTGAAATCAATGGATAGTTTGTAAATGTAGTTATTACTAATTGATTATTTTCCATATATCATCAACAATTGAAAATAAAATTAACAGAAATTTGTATTATAATGAAATTAACTTTAACATAACAAAGATAAAGTTATAATTGAAGAACAGATATCTGCATGGCATCTATATATAGAGCCACTAATCTTTTGACAGACTCTGTCAGTGTGTCTCTATTAACTTCTGAGGGAATGGGTGCCTTAATTTCAATAAGCGTTGTAGATTAGTTTAGAAAGAAATATGTGTACAGTAGAAAAGGAAATATAATCATTTAATGTACCTTGAAAAAAAGTCCTTTACAACCAGCTGGTTCATCTAAGGCAATAGTCAAGGCGTCATCCTGATTTGTGACCTCTGCGGAAGACCTGGCAGTTAGTTCTAAGTATTGTGAGCAACAAATGTCTATTTCTTTTGTGATAAAATACACCACAACGTACATTTTTTCAAATGACATACTGTGTTAGTTTAGCCTTGAACGATGAGATAAACTGATAGCATTTGGTTTTTCAAGCAAAGGAGTAAATCCTCCCCTTACTCATAAGGGAATTCCATCAAGGTGCAAACAGGCCCGAAGATGATTTGATTTATTTACCTGGTTTATATCTCTCTTAGGCAGTTTAATTTTCTGCGTAATAGGAGAATTGGCTGGGACTTTTCAACTTTATAGTTTTCAAAAATTTAGTCTTTATGAATTTTCATCTGGGGATAAAGGATGACTCACCTTCTATTCCAATCCCTCTCCTTCTTCCACAGATTTTATTCTGATTGCTATATACTAAAAGACAAAGAAACAACCAAAAAAGTATTTAGCTTGGTAATTATCATCTAATTATTTGGATTAATGGAGAAGATGGGAGGCTCACGTGACACATGACACAACAAGAAACAAAAATCATTTATGTTCTGTTTATTTACAGGACTCGGTTACCATTAGTGTGGGATGGAGATGGTGAAAGAAAATAACTTTTTTTCTTTCTTGCTTTCTTTATTTTTCATGTCATGATGAGTGTACATTCTCTATATGGAAACACACAACAAGCCAGTTAGTAGCAACTCAAATAGATATGAGACACTATGGAGGCAGTTTCCAAATTCTGGACAAGCTGTTAGAAAAAGCTCAAAAAAGGGAAGAAATTTCAGAGGGCAGGCAAGGCTGAAGTGGGCGTTGAAACATGGGTAGGCTTTGGGTCAACAAAGGGGAAGAGTAAATTTGACAGTGGATTTAACAAATATTAATTGCTTTTAGACATTATTACTATGCTAAATTTAGATCCGTTTTAGATAAATTAGGTAACTTATTTACGTAAATTAAATTCATTGAAAATCACGATCTAAATAAAAAATCAGCCATAGTGGAAGCTTCCAAACTTTATAGATAATGGCTTTTGACCTAAAAGAGACACGTAATTTTAAACAACCGTAATACAGAGAAGCATTGTTTGTTGAGTGCCTGGTTCTCATTTATGACAACCTGAACGACGCGGAATTTGGTTTTCTTCACTGGTTCCAGGCAAAGTTAAAATAGCATTAAAAATACCAACCAAAGCAACTTTAAAATAGAAACGGATTTTTTTCCAGAAAAAAGTTTGAGATAAACGCCCTCAAGCTTCTCGCCTTCATCGGACCCCAAATAGTCATGTTTAGTCTTGCAATGTTTCCTATTATATGGATATAGGGCAAAACGAAAGCAATATTCTAATTAGAAATAAAGCGCTGGTATTTCTCAGGCTGAAAATCACATCCATCAAGTTCCCTTCTCTCCAAAGAAAATTTTGATTTTTAATTAAATCTCATTCTCGAAAGGGAAAAAGCACTAAGAAAAAGACAAAAATGAAAAAAGCAGGAACTACCCGAAAATGTTTATTCAAGAGCTTCTGTGTGCTAGACTGAGAAGCAGGAAGTGGATTCCTCCCGCGCACCGAAAGCCCCGGTCTCTTCCTGGATGCCGGCAACCAATCAGGCCGTGGAGGGAATGAGCGGGCGCCCGGGCAAATTTAAACTGCCCGCGCAATCTCTGAACCCCCTCAGGAATCCAATTCTTTGTCCCAGAGCCATGAGTATTTGGATTTACTACGAATTTAAAAATTAACTCCTCCCCCGTTACTTAACCCTAAATGGTAACAGAATTGGTATCTGAACCCTTTTAAATATACGAAGTACCTAAACGACAATGAAAAAGCCAGGGCAGGGTTACAAGGAGTTCCAGAGCTTTGCCAGGGTCAGGTAACATTTTTGAGGTTAGCGTATCTCAAGCTTACCGTGACAGCAAAGTCCTAAAGGACTGTTCAGTAATTGGTCTACTTCGCAGACTAAATACTGTAATGAGCTACGAAGGCCCAGCGCAGAAACAAAACCAGCCACCAGCTCTCTCTATTGAGCATATGGTGGCTCTTAAAAGAGCCGTTAAATTGTTTGCAGCCAACTCACTGTTTACTTGGCGCTGGTGTACTTGGTGACAGCCTTGGTGCCCTCGGACACGGCGTGCTTGGCCAGCTCCCCGGGCAGCAGCAGGCGCACGGCCGTCTGGATCTCCCTGGACGTGATGGTCGAACGCTTGTTGTAATGCGCCAGGCGCGACGCCTCGCCCGCGATGCGCTCGAAGATGTCGTTGACAAACGAGTTCATGATGCCCATGGCCTTAGACGAGATACCGGTGTCCGGGTGGACCTGCTTCAGCACCTTGTACACATAGATGGAATAACTCTCCTTGCGGCTGCGTTTGCGCTTCTTACCATCTTTCTTCTGCGCCTTAGTTACCGCCTTCTTGGAGCCCTTTTTCGGAGCAGGAGCAGATTTAGCTGCTTCCGGCATGATGAAAAGCAACTCAAAAGAATTTAAGAGAAAGAGAAATAGCGTGGTAAAAGATACGATGTGTCCCTTTTATATAGAAACTCTTATGCAAATAAGGTGATAAGTTAAAGTCTTGTGTCTGATTGGTGGCTGTTTAAGAAGCCGTAAGAAATTAGTTCTACCCAATCACAACGCAAGAATCCTACTGCCGCCTTTCCATTGGTTAAAATGAAGCCACAATCCTAACCAATGACATACCTCTTTTATCGCGCCCAATAAGGGTTATAAGAAGTGCTGCCCCTACGCTTTCGTTTTGAAAGACTTCTGAGGCGTTGTCGTTGATTTCATGATGTCTGGACGAGGCAAGCAAGGCGGGAAAGCTCGCGCCAAGGCCAAGACCCGCTCTTCACGGGCCGGGCTTCAGTTCCCCGTGGGCCGAGTGCACCGCCTGCTCCGCAAGGGCAACTACGCCGAGCGTGTCGGGGCCGGCGCGCCGGTGTACCTGGCGGCGGTGCTGGAGTACCTGACCGCGGAGATCCTGGAGCTGGCGGGCAACGCGGCTCGCGACAACAAGAAGACGCGTATCATCCCGCGCCACTTGCAGCTGGCCATCCGCAACGACGAGGAACTCAACAAGCTGCTGGGCAAAGTCACCATCGCTCAGGGTGGCGTACTGCCCAATATCCAGGCCGTGCTGCTGCCCAAAAAGACCGAGAGCCACCACAAGGCCAAGGGCAAGTAATTGACTAGATTATAGCAGCTCGGATAAATTCAAACCAAAGGCTCTTCTCAGGGCCACCCATATTTTCTGTAAAAGAGTTTTAACATTTGTTACGTTGGACGATGAAAAGGGGTAGTGAGATTTAATAAAAGCCTGAGTCACTTTCCCATCCTCTGCTTTGTTGAAAGCAAAGTAAGAAAAACATTTTATCACGTTTTAAAGAAAGCTCGCTGCAGTGATTATCTACGGACTTAGGACTTTATCGCTAATCCTTAATAAGTGTGCGTCCACGGGTAACCATTAGCATCAGTTTCTGAAATATTTTGGTACAAAAGAAGCACTACCCTGACTCGAATTTAGCAGACGGTGCAGCAAGGGCCTGACCAGGCGGCCTGCGGCAGCGCGCCGGCCACGGGCGGCGTGAAGAAGCCGCACCGCTACCGGCCCGGCACGGTGGCCCTGCGCGAGATTCGCCGCTACCAGAAGTCCACGGAGCTGCTGATCCGCAAGCTGCCGTTCCAGCGCCTGGTGCGCGAGGTCGCTCAGGACTTCAAGACCGACCTGCGCTTCCAGAGCTCGGCCGTGATGGCGCTGCAGGAGGCGTGCGAGGCCTACCTGGTGGGGCTCTTCGAGGACACCAACTTGTGTGTCATCACGCCAAGCGCGTCACCATCATGCCCAAGGACATCCAGTTCCCCTACAGATCAACGGAGAGCTTCGTGGCACGATAGTCTCCCTCACCCAAATACTGTCAGCCACATACGTTTTCCCTAACAGTACATGTGCCACGAGGCAATGTTGCTACGTTAAAATTTTGGGATTACATCTGTAGATGTGACACCACTCTGGAGCACGAGAAAGGTTTCTCATATTTGGGTTGCGGCCTAAATCTCAAATGCTGTTGCCTCAGGAGAACTTGACAGGTTAGTTATTTCTAACAAACTTTAAACCTATCAAGACATTTGAGGAAATGTTTTCCATAACTATTGCTATTGAAATGTAAAGTGTTGCCAATCACGCAGACTTAAACTTCTGCCTCGTAGACTTTAAGTGTGGTGTAAGGAAAATAATATAGAGGATTATGATATGGTTCGACAAAGTAGTTGATAAGTAGTGGAGAAATGTAGTGTGTTGTGGGCTCCTGACAGAAACCAAGTCAGCAAAGCTGATAGGGTTACCTTTGAAAGAGTTATTTGATGTGACATGACAAGTAACTTCTGTTGCTGTAACCAAATAAGGAATACCCCTGCCAATGGTTTTTACTGCCTAGGTCGCAGAATCTAGCCTCTTACTCTCCACTCACTGAACTCTTTTAATTGATGTCATCTCAAAATAAAAGACGTTAACTTTTTTTTCTTGAATATCATGAACACCTTTGGCTGTGTGGTGACTAAGTGGAAACTTCTCAGAATAATGTTTTAAGTGTACAAAATGCAAAAGTTGCAAAAAATTTATTACATTACAGTTATCAAAGTATTTTTAAAAGTAAATTTGATAGAGTGACATATGCACTTATATAATTAACACAGTACATAACACAATCTTTTGGGGAGCCTAACTGCCATCAGTAATAAGATAAGTATAAAAGATGGTTTAAGATAACGCAGCAATTGTTATGAAAAATGAAACATCTGTGATTTCCACTGGGTAACAAAGTAACAGGTACTGAGGTTTGAGGCCTAAATTCATAATAAAGTGAAATGCCAATGTTCAGTTAAAGGTTAATTAAAATATATTTTTTTCTCCATCTAAACTCATGGACTTCCCCCCTCACCACTACCGCCACCGCCCCATCCACATTCTGCTGATTTTTATCCTCAGAGGCATTGTGGCATATATGGATCCCAGGTGAAAAACCGTTGCTGTAAGATTTGGTCAATCTAACCCATTCTTTTGCAACTTAATTATGATTTTTCACTGAAACTGCCTCTTCATAGCTGGAATTTCTTTCGCACTTAAGTCTTCTAACATCTCATATAATTATTCATACCCTTTTATTGTCTTTGTTTTTTGTACTTAAAATAGAACTTCTTCCAATCCTAGTATAAATAAGACTTCTTGAAATAAAAAGAAATGCCAACAATATCTAACAATGCTAGACACTCAAATGACCCACCAAAAAACAGTAAAATATTTGACTTTTCATAGGCTTTTTAGAAGTTATGTAACCCAAATGATTTCATTCATTATTCAATTGTTCTGTCTTTAAATATGTCTTCCAATTGTAGGGAAAAAACATACTTTTTCCTCCACCCTTCTGAGTTTTTGGCTGAGAGCCTGTAAGCAGATAGGTTAGGGGGTCCCCGCACCTGACCAGGGATTGAACCCGGGATCTTGGCAGTGAAAGCGTGGAATCCTAACCACTGGACCACCGGATAATTCCCAGGAATGGCTTTATTTACATAAGAGAAGCCATTTTGGCCTAAGCCATTTTGTGATCTAAGCGTGATCTAATGCTTGCCCTTGAACGTGTCTCAGTAATCAATGATCTTAAGGAAAGTAAGGGAGTGCAGGAACAAAGGAAAAGCAGTCAAGAAACAACAGTTCAACAATAAAAGCCCTAGTTCCTCCTCAAGGGATATAGATAAAAATCTGATACAGTCTTTGAGTTCTGCAGGAACTAAGGCCCCCACCTAGGTGGAGAATGGAATGATAATTTTGCCCCTTCATGAATATGCATGTACCCTTAGCTTAAAACTTCCCCAGTCTTGCTGTTCAGGGAGACACTGCTTTGGGAAGATCCCCGGTGTTCTCCTTACTTGCTGCAAGTAGTAATAAATTCTTTCTTCCTTCTCCTGATCTTTGGCTTGGTTCTGTCTTTTGGTGCGACACCCACCAAGAGGCGAACCCAGTTTTCGGGTAACAAGCCCTGTAATAAAAGCCAAATTCGAAAGAGAAAAACAAGTTTCTTAACAACTATACCTCATCTATACATGGGAGAAACCCAGGGAAAAATGAGTACCTCTAGAGGTGCCTTAGAATTCCAGGGAATTCCCTGGTGGCTTTCACTGCCAAGGTCTCGAGTTCAATCCCTGGTCAGGGAATTAAGATCCCGCAAGCTGTGAGGTGTGGCCAAAAAACAAAACAAAACAAATAAAAAGAACTCCAGCTTAAATACCATCTGCCGCTAAAGATGGAGATGTAGGGAGGTCAGGTACGGGGAGGTTACCAGGGAAACAAGGGTAAACTTTGTTAGGCATATTTAAATTGATGCCTTCTCCATTGATAAGGGTCTAAAGTTGTTTACTAGGATTAACCTTTGTTCTTCCTGGGAAAGAGAGGAGGAGGGACATCTCTGTAAATCTGTGTCCTGCTTTTAGGGAAACAGAAGGAAAGCAAGAAGATTTTCTTGGATCTGCTTCATCTCAAACGCCTCAGTTCAGCGAAATAATCCTTATGCTAAATGGTGTATTTTGGGGTGGCCTAGTCTGCTCCCCTTCAACACCAAATACTAATATTTTGTTGATGTATACTGTTGTCTGTATTAATATAAAAAATCTGAACTCATGCATTATATTTTAAATGATACACAGAGAATATTTCTAAACAAAAGTTTTAAAGCAAATTAAAACTCTCGCATTACAATTCTTTTAAGGGTTTTTTTTTAAATTTAAATCCAATGTTGTGGGTTAATAATGTAATTGAACATTTTTTCTTATATTTGTAGACATTTGTATATCCATTACAGTCAGTTTGGGCATCTATTCTGCCCAAACTATTTGGGCATTTGCCCATCTATTTGGGCATTTTGAGATAGAAAGTTAAAGATCAAGTTTAAGATCAAGAATATTTAAGGAAGATCAAGAGCAGAGAAAGCAAGGGTAGAAAGTGAGTTCACAGAGATAGGCAGAGGTCAGATCATGTAGGGCTTTATGATCATGTAGAGTTTTATATGCCATGCTATAAGTTTCTGCAAACCATTCTAAGAGTTTTGAACAGAGGAATGGCATAACCTGATTTACATTTCTTGTGAAAGTTCACTATGGCAACTGTATGGTGAATACAAAGTTTAGAAGTAATGATGTAAATTAGGAAGCTATTGCAGTGGTCTTTTTGAGAGATAATGGTGGTTTGGCTTAAACTGGGGTAATAGACAATGGTTAGGTATAGGATATATTTCACAAGTGTAACCAATAGTTTGCTGCTGGATTTGATTTGTACTGTGTAGGAAAAAGAAATTTCCCTTTGAATTCTTGGCTGAGACTACCTAGAATAAAAGACAAATTAAAAAGAGAAAAACCACCAAAATTATATTAACATGTAAACCTCATGTATACAGGAGAGACACAGGAAAAATGAGTAAACTCCTCAAGATGGCCCAAGCCATCACCTTACACACCATCTTTAGCTAAAGACAAAAGAAAGTTGTGTAGGGGAGGGGGGACACATTATCAGAAAAACACATAATAAACAAGGGTTTGTTATGCAGGTTAAAGTGGGTGCCTTCTCCCATAAGATCTTTTTCATGATTTCGAATCATCCTTCTCTTCATAGTATAGAGAGGGAGACACAAATGTAGCTTTCCTCTATAAATGTGTGTCTGTAACAAAAAGGTAACTTCTGTTTTCAGAGATTCACCTGTCTATGCTGTTTCTCAAAAATAATTAGTTCAAAATAACCCTTATGACAAAGAGGCATACTTTGGGGTGGCATATTCAGCTGCCCTTCAACAGTGAAAGAACATAAAGCCACAAAGAAAATATTTGATTTGAACTGTTCATCTCGACATATTAAGTCAGTTACTATGTTAGAAAACGGCCCGAAGAGCATTGTATTTTTATAAAATAATATATTGTATGTTTATAGAACAATAAACCTTTGCTTATCAATTTCAGAAATTATAAAGAATCTGACAAACTTTTCAGATATCCATCCATTGCTAGTCTTATAATCACTAGTTGTTATGCAAAAACTCATGAAATCAGATAGGAAGGGAGGCTAGTAGTTGGTGGGCATTTTACCCATTTTTAAAGTAGAGAAGGGGGCCTCCCCTGTTGGTCCAGTGGTTAAGACTCCACGCTCACAATGCAAAGGGCCTGGGTTCCAGCCCTGCATGCCGCAGCTAAAGACCCCACAGGCTGCAACGAAGGTCCGCATAAGACCTGGCTCAGCCAAATAAATAAATAAATATTTTTTTTAAAAAGTAGAGAAGGGTCTGTAAAATATATTCCAGTTAACTAATGTTGGGGAAATATAATGTAAAACAAAAGAAGAGAAAGTTTATTATTGAATAAGCTTAATGCTTATTCAAAATATTATGCTCTACACGGGCAATCTTTTAAAGAGATTGCAAAGATAGAGAAAAAAATCTCACTCTTTTATATAGGTAAGTAGATACTACCCATTACATTAGGTAGGTTTTGCAATCTGGAGTCAGGAAACTGGGAAAAAGAGTACTATTTTCCTTGATGATTAAAGAGAGGACTCTAAGCTCCTTGAGGAAACTTTCCTGAGTTAAGAGGCTGGCAAAGGGCTTTTTTAGCCATTTTACATACATTTGGAAAGGACAGAGAAAGAAATTTTGAAAGAGAAAAAGGAAAGGAAAGGGACCCTCGAGGAGAATTAAGCCTCTTATTTTCAACTTGTATTTGCCCTTAAATTAACTTGTTTAATTATGCTGGATATATACCCATCTCTGTAACATATACTGAATTTTGTTCCTGTTGGTTGAATCAGTTTCGTTTTTGCAAAGGTTTTTATTTATTTTATGAAATTTATAGTTTATAGGAGTACTTTGAAAATACTGTATTGCAACCTTGCTAAAAGTAACTCTCATTGAAATAAAGGAAAGTGAAAGAAAATCATTGAATAACAATGGGATTATATGCTAATGCTGAAAGAAGGGATTAAAATTTCTCAGAATTTAAGCAATAGTAAAATAGTATATATTTTTTAAATTAAGTATATACATCCAAGAATGTTTGAAATATATAATCATTCGTTTAATAAAGGCTTTCTTAGAAAGACAAAGATAGACTTTCTTTTCTCTGCATTTGAATTTTCTACTTGTTCACTAATGACAAATTAACTGCTCTTCTAATTAATGAAAGTTAAAAAAAATTTTAATTATATGTTACCTAGAAAAAAAATCTACTGAGACATTTAAAGACCCAGATTCAGTATTTTGCAGGTTAGGAGGACACAGTACTTCAAAAATAACAAATTTACCCTAATAAATTGTATAGATTTAATACAGTTAAGAGTACTAAAATAACTACTTTGTTGCAGCTAGATAAAATGATTTATTTTTCTATAATAGTAGAAATTAATTTGAAATAAATAATTATGAGGTATGAATTCACTGGCAAATACTTATTTTTCAACATTACAAATAATTAAATGCTAGAGCACTATACATAGACTGATCAGCAGAATAAAAACTCAAGAAATAATTTTAAGTGAAATATTCAATAAACGATCAATTAAGTTCCTCAAATAAGTGGAGAAAATATTTACTATGTTATACTGATGAGCCAGCTGGTTAATTTTTTAAAAGTTAATTCTCTATACAAGAAACCAAATCTGGATTATTATAGAGTTAAATTTTTTTAATGATTCTACCCATTATCAGTAAAATAATAATAGGAATTTATATTAAAAATGGAAATTGACACACATTTGGTGGAAGAGAATTTAGCAATATACCTGGAAGATCTTGAAATTCTCTATTTTATTAGCCCATCTTGCTCTATTTCTAGGTAGTATATTTCCCCCATATATTAGGAGAAAAACTTCACAAAATGGTATTAACCGTATGCAAATACTGGTAGAGAAAGAAGACACATGTATATAGGTAGAGATAAAAGCAGAATATTTTCTTCTCTGTGCTATTTTATGTATCATCTACAATGTTAAAGTTTTGTTGCTTAACGAGGATGAGGAGCGAAACAAATTAAATGGGAAAAGGGGAGAAAAATAGCCTAGGTCTTGAGGAATCAAAAGAATTAACTGAAAGAGAACAAACGGGAGTAGTACGGCCGGCTTGTTCCTATAGGTCTTTAGGTCCCCTCCCCCAACCCAGAGGGATTCCCGCCACAGCTCTTTTGGTTTTCACTCTGGTCCGCAGAGGTTACTTTTTAAAAGGAGCTGCGACAAGTTGAGTGCAGTTTTCTGTTCATTTCCTGAGAATGTCCGGACGTGGTAAGGGGGGGAAAGGTTTGGGGAAAGGGGGCGCCAAGCGCCACCGCAAAGTTCTGCGCGATAATATCCAGGGCATCACCAAGCCCGCCATCCGCCGCCTGGCCCGGCGTGGAGGTGTCAAGCGCATCTCTGGTCTCATCTACGAGGAGACCCGTGGGGTGCTGAAGGTGTTCTTGGAGAACGTGATCCGGGACGCCGTCACCTACACCGAGCACGCCAAGCGCAAGACGGTCACGGCCATGGACGTAGTGTACGCGCTCAAGCGCCAAGGACGCACCCTCTACGGCTTCGGCGGCTAAAAGAAAAAAGTTTGATCCTGTTAGTTTATTAAAAAGGCCCTTTTTAGGGCCCCCACGTTTTCAAGGAAAGGGCTAAAGTAATCCGTCTGTACGCTGGTGTCTTAAACCATTTAAAGTGGATCGCTCAAGACAGTTCACATAGTTAACTCTAGGGTGTGGGAAATGGACTGAGCACAGTAGTGATCGCGGGGCAAGATTCCCCCGGGCACGGGTGGGGCCTCCAACTAGCTTCTCGGCTGCGGGTTGGATTTGTCTGGAGGCCTGAGTTTTATGAGACCAGAGGCCTGGACTCAGGCTCAACTCTAAAATCTCCCTCCAGTCCTTTATATTTCTTAATGTCGGGTGAGGGATATGACCTTATTTTTCCCCATTTTACCACCCATCTGTTACTTGTTTCTCTAGCCGTATGTTTTTTAAAAACTAGTAAATTGGCCACATAAGATCTTTTTTGTGAGCCCTCATATTACATACCTTTACTCTGAAGACATGTTTCTCTTTGCCTTGCAGACTTTGTTCCTCCTGGCTGGGGGTGAGGGTGGGGGGTGCGGGGGGGCGGGGAGGGCGGCGCAGAGTTCTAGCATTGTCCTGACCCCAAATGGGCTGGACGAGATAACTGCTGAGTTAAAAGGCTGCATTTTAGGAGGTCATTGGAGACCAAGTTTACTAACACATAAATGCACATTAGAACACTAGTGGTGGAGAAAAAAAGGACACGTGACAGAGGCTGTTAAGGCTTAAACAGGAAGCCACTGTACTTCACACAGAAGACCCCCGAAACAGGAATGATTCTCTTTGTGTTCACGTGTTAACTTACCAGATCTAAGGGCCGTGTTACTGAAGCACTTGGTAGTATAATTGGTTTCCTCCTATTCAGAGGCAATTTACGACCACAGTACGTGTGATTCAGTACAATGGAATTCTCAATACCTCACGTTATCGCTAGAACTTTATAAATTCAGAGTTCGTATTTTCAGCTCTAATACTGACAACTTAGTGGCTCTTAAAAGAGCCTTTGGGGTTAATCTAAAAATAACTTGACAAATTTACTTGGCGCTGGTGTACTTGGTGACAGCCTTGGTACCCTCGGACACGGCGTGCTTGGCCAACTCCCCGGGCAGCAGCAGGCGCACGGCCGTCTGAATCTCCCTGGACGTGATGGTCGAGCGCTTGTTGTAGTGCGCCAGGCGCGACGCCTCGCCCGCGATGCGCTCGAAAATGTCGTTGACGAACGAGTTCATGATGCCCATAGCCTTGGACGAGATGCCAGTGTCCGGGTGGACCTGCTTCAGCACCTTGTACACGTACACGGAGTAGCTCTCCTTGCGGCTGCGCTTCCGTTTCTTGCCATCCTTCTTCTGCGCTTTGGTCACCGCCTTCTTAGAGCCTTTCTTCGGGGCCAGAGCGGACTTCGCCAGCTCAGGCATGATCTGTAAAAACAAGCAACGTACAGCGACAAAAAATACTAAATGCGCAAAGTACCTCATTTATATAGAACCTCTTATGCAAATAAGGTAAGTCGAAGTCCTATGTCTGATTGGTGGCTGTTCAAGAAACCTTCAGAAATTAGTTCTGCCCAATCAGAACGCAAGAATCCCAATTTCACCTTTCCATTGGTTAAAATGAAGCCACATCCTAACCAATGACATACCTTCTTTTTCGCGCCCAATAAGGGTTATAAAAAGCGCTGTCCTTGCATTTTCTCTTTAGTAGCTACTTGAGGTGACGTTGCTGAGGTCGTTATGTCTGGACGAGGCAAACAAGGAGGTAAGGCTCGCGCTAAGGCTAAGACCCGGTCTTCGCGGGCCGGGCTTCAGTTCCCCGTGGGCCGAGTGCACCGCCTGCTTCGTAAAGGTAACTACGCCGAGCGGGTCGGGGCCGGCGCGCCGGTGTACCTGGCGGCGGTGCTGGAGTACCTAACGGCCGAGATCCTGGAGCTGGCAGGCAACGCGGCCCGCGACAACAAGAAGACGCGTATCATCCCGCGCCACTTGCAGTTGGCCATCCGCAATGACGAGGAGCTCAACAAGCTGCTCGGCAAAGTCACCATCGCGCAGGGCGGCGTCCTGCCCAACATCCAGGCCGTGCTGCTGCCTAAGAAGACCGAGAGCCATCATAAGACCAAATAAGTAACAAGGTGAGAAAAGCTGAAATACAAAGGCTCTTTTCAGAGCCACCTACACTGTCAAAGAGAAAGCTGGTACACACAATCTTGTGTTTAGAGTGATAAGATTATAAAGTGCTTCTGTTCTCTTGACGGGGTGGAGCGCAACTCCAATAGCAATTCGGCACGTGGTCTGAACTGAAAGGACTACTTGCAGATTCACAGGGACTAGTATGTGCAGGAGAGGCTTGTTCAGAAGTTGGGAGATGAATCCGATAGGCAAGTACCTGAAGTCCAGTTAATTAATGTTATCTAGAAGCAGTGTCCTTAGGCAGCCAAAATACGGATGCACTGATTACTTTTAGGAAACTTAGCAATTCTGAATGTACTGTTTAGAAAAGTCCTTTGAAAGAGCATCCTGGTTAAGTGACCTAACTAAAGGATAGTTTCATCAGATGATGAAATTCTTAAAATTCCACTCAGCAGCCGTTTACATTTTCTTTAGGATTTAATTCTAATGGGAACTAGAGTTTGTCGATTAAAAATATTCAGAACTTATTTAATCCCATACTAGTAAATCCTTGGTCCTATTTCTTTGGGACTCGTGTTCATTTAACGCACTCTTGTAGTAACTCAGGATACAACAGTCAATTCAAACCTAGAAAATCTACCTCCCTGGAATTTACTCTAGGTGAGGGAGCCATAAATAAACATGTGAATATATAATATGTAAGATGATACACATCCTGTGAAAAACATAGGGAGGAGATAAGCCATAGAGCATTATGGGGACTCATTTTAGATAGGGGGTAAATGGAGATTACCTCTTAAAAGTATTACTTGCTCAGAGACCTACATAAATTAAAAAAACGAGACAGTCAGATACTAGAGGAAGAGTATTTCAAGTAGAGGGAACTGAAAATGCAAAAGCCTTAGGACAGAAAATGTGTTTTTCTTGGGCACAGCCAGAAGGCCCATTAGGCGTTGAACTTAAAGGGGGGTGGGGGGGAGGACACCATAATATAGGACTTCGGGTGTGTAAATTAATGTGTATAAGTAATCAAAAGCAATAGCAACCCTGATCTCTGAGATAATAAATTTGATAATACAGATTAGCTAGATAGAAAAAGCTGAGGAATCCAACCCACTTTTTAAAAAAGACACCATAAAAACAGTATTGACTGGGTGGGGGGGTCATGAATTGGGAGATTGGGATTGACATATATATACTATTGATACTACGTATAAAATAGATAACTAATGAGAACCTACAGTATAGCTCAGGGAACTCTACTTAATGCTCTGGTGACCTAAATGGGAAGGAAATGCAAAAAAGAGTGGATATTCATATACGTACAGATGATTCACTTTGCTGTACAGTAGAAACTAACACAACATTGTAAAGCAACTACACTCCAATAAAAATTAATTTAAATAATACTATCAACTTTATTATGTGGTTCAAAAACTGAAAGATTGAGAACATAGTTTATAATTCAATACAGGATTTATTTGCTACTCCTAGTCTTTGCTTGCAGAAGCCCTGTCGAATGAAGTGATAATAAAATGCAAGACACCCAGGAAAAAAATTATGGTGATATAGTGATGTAGGTTGAGTTCTCTGGAAGCAGATGCTGAGATGGAGTTTGGGGTGCAAGATGTTTATTAGGGACCAACATCTGTGAAGGGAGGAAGGAACTAGGATTAGACAGAGAATGTCAAACTGTGATACAGGCCAGACAAACATGTGGGGAGCATTGGAGACTGTATTGCCTGTCAGAGTTGCCCCACACTGGGTGAAAATGTCTCTGGATCAGGCTTTACTTCTGCCACTGATGACTGCCCTGAGGAAGGGCGTGCCTTGAGTTGGGTGGAGATCTGCAACTCTGGGGAACCCTGGAGATAAGAGCTGCTGCCTATCTACTAAGAGCACTCTGCAGTTGGGCAGCAAGTCTTTCCTTGGTGGGGGATCTGGATACTGCATTTCCATGTCTATGACATACACTAACATGAATATAAATATCAGTGTTGAGTAATGTCTATGATGGTATTTGTAAAACTGACTTTAGCATACATACTTTCTTTACCTTCATCGGGAATTTAAAAGGGATGTGTTTTCTTTTTAGAGAAATGAGAAAACTTACTTTCTAAAAACCTTTACTAATTTCATATACTCCTGTAAGAGTTTTAGACGCCACAATCATTGCAAATGGAAGGTGATATAAAACAATAAGGAATAAGAGAGAATCTTCCACTGGCCTTTTCTCCGTCCTCCAGATCCAGTAATCACTTCACTTATCCAGTCCTGGGTTCCAGTTTTGTACCATAATATGAAGGCTTCAAAGTGAATAGTTGAGGCCCCAAAAGAGAAGAGAATGAGGCTTTAAAGAAAACATGGAAGAGATATTCAGTACAGACCATTTATGGGCTACATATGCAACATGAATGCACTTGAGGTGGGTATCGTTCCAGTTACAATTTAGAAAAGAAATGCTATGGGACTGAATGTTTGAGCCCCCTGCCCCCCTTTCATATATTGAAATCCTAACCCCGCAATGTGATGGTATTTGTTGGCGGGGGCTTGGGAGGTAAATGGCTTTAGATGAGGTCATGAAGGTAGAATCCTCATGGTGGGATTAGCACTCTTGTAAGAAGAAGAGACCAGAGCTCCCCACCCACTCCTGGAGCCCACAAAGAAGAAATCACATGAGCACACAGAGAGGTGGCAGCACCTGCAAACCAGGAAGCAGGTCTTCACCAGACATGGAATCTGTTGGCACCTTGCTCTTGGACTTCCCAGATTCCAGAACTATGAGAAATAAATGTTTGTTGTTTAAGCCACCCATCCTATAATATTTGTCATAGCAGCCCCAACTGAGTAAGACAAGAAAGCACAATGTAATTTATTCAATCAGATTCTCAATTTGTAAGAGATAAAGCTATAAATCAAGATATTAGCTACCTCAACACAGAACCCACACATAACTGCCTTCTCTTAACTATCTGGTCTTATACACTTTGGTCTAAGGTATGAGTAGGAATGTTAAAGAGAGATGTTGAAAAATTTGTACATGGACAATTTTGCAATCATTTATCGGTTGGGGAAAGAGATTGACTGATCCACAGGATAGATCATCATTTCTACCCCATTCTTAAGAGCCTCCTTCATGGTGGAAGCCCTCTGGTGGTCATTTTGGGGTAACTCATATACTGACTGTGTCCTTGTACATTACACTCCACAAGACCTTCATGATAATAATTTTCTAGTCATGTTTTCCATGTCCTTGATTAGCTGGATAACTCACCAGTCACTGTCTATAAATTAGTAAAGATACATATAGACTCGCTTTTCCTGCATCAGGCCAGATTCCCTACCATAAGAAGTGGACAACCAGATGTACCACCCAATATTCTGCTGACAGGGGGATTTCTTTTCACTACTCTCTCTCAAGACCTCCCATCTCTAAGTGGAAGCATAACTTGTAGCGCACAGCTATCCAATTCTACTAGTGCTAAAATGCTCTGCAAAGCCGCTCTAACACGGCCATGATTGTTAATCCTTTGTTAACTGGTCATAGGGGGTTTACCAAGAGGTTATAAAAAAGAGTTGAAGGAGAGGTAGCAAAGCAATAGAAACAGCACAGGAGTCTGAGCATTATACATCTTGCTCAGACCATCACAGATCTGGTCTTGTCTATAGAATTTCATTTTAAAATGAAATGCTACTGTGATATCCATCTTTATAATTTGGTAGCTCATAGGACACCCAGTTCCTGGTGAATATTTTGGGGCGCATATTTGCTTTATGTCCCACTGTCAGGCATTCAGTAATTAAAATGGCTCAGTAGATGCTAGAAGCTACTTTTCAAATAAATAATAGTTGCCATCAGAGTAAGACTTGGCCTTATTCTAAATCCCCAGGTGTGATACTCTTCATGAGTTTTGCAAGAGTCTCCTTAGAGCGTTTCTGTCTGTCATGCATAACTCCAGACCAATGACTCTTAGGCATCATAAAGCCTAAGTGGCAGGAAATGGGGCCTACTGAAAACCAGCAGGCTTACAAACTATCTGATAGCTGGTGAGGGGAGCATATCCAGATATGGTACATGTCACTTTGGGGAAATAATAATGTTAGTAGCTCAAAGGGTAGCAAGAGAACATTTCAGATGAAAGAAATAAAAGCTGGTAGAAAAGATCCTACAGTGGTTATTATTATTATTACTATTATTATTTGGCCACACCACATGGCATCTTAGTTCCCCAACCAGGGATTGAACCTGGGCCCAAGGCAGTGAAAGCATGGAGTCCTAACCATTAAACCATCAGGGAACTCCCCCTACAGAGATTTTTTAAAAATAATATAGGAAAGAGAGGGAAGGGTTGCTGGAGCTATGCCCCTGAGTAAGAGAGAATTTTAAATTTATTTTTAATAGAAAATTTAGGAAAGTTGGAAGTAGAAAAGTCCATGGCATTGATAAACATAGAGCTAGCAGGTTGGATTAGGCCACCCTGTCTCTTATCCTACTCAGAATCACTGTAGTAAAAGTGTCAGGCAAAATCCTCAGAAAGGCTTTCAAAAATAAAAAGCACAAGAAGAGAGGCCATTTTCTAGGCCTGTGCCACACCAAGGACTAACACACAGGATTGGCTTTTCTCTCTTCTTATAGAGAAGCACATGCAAATCAGTCCAATTGCCAAAACACCCCAGCAGAAAATGCAGAAAAGCACTTGTGTCCATAAATAGGGTGCTTTCTAAATAGGGTGAGAGGGAGTCCCTGAGGGAAAGAAAGGAAGGAGAAGTCCAACTCAAACAGGCCTGAGACAAAAGCAGCCTGCATTCCCTGTACAGGCAGCATTTCCTTTCCTTCAGCTAAACTGAGCTCATTTCCTTGAGACAGAAAATCCCTAGCTCTCTTCCCTGATCAAATTAATACTGGGAAGCAGGTAATTCTTCAGCAAACCTGCCAGTAATTAGGGTGGCTTTGTGTGATCTAGAAGAAAGGAGATAAAGAAAACCTCAGAAAATTAAAGAC